CCACCTGGGGGTCCATGGACGGCGGGTGTCCCCTGCGCATCCCGCCCCGCTGAGCCGTGTGCCCGGAGCCGCCTCCCCGCCAGGGGCGCTCATCGTCCTGTCCGTGGTGTTTGCAGGTCCATTCATGGAGCTGGTGGAAGGGAAGATCTCCTGCAAGAAACTCTTCATCTTCCTGCTCTTCAGCTTCACCTTCGAATCCTGTCTCTTAGTTTCTCTTCATCACTTGAGGACTTCCAAGCCTGTACACCACGATTATGATCCCTTTGCACAGACAGCTTATGCTGGGAATACCAGCGCCCCGCTGGTGGGCAAACGCAGGCTGACCATCCTGCTCTGGCAGTGGCCTTTTAGGCAACACTTTGAATTCATAAACTGCACGATGCTCTACAGCACCCCCAACTGCCACATCACCACCAACCACAGCTGGTCCCAGAAGGCTGATGCTGTGATAATGCACCACAGGGATGTGTGCTGGAACGCCACGTGGTTGGCCCAGCTCCCCAGACTCCCATCCCAGCGCTGGATCTGGTTCAACTTGGAGTCCCCAAGTCACTCGCCAAATTTAAGAGCCATGGATAACCTCTTCAACCTGACCATGCCTTACCGGAGAGACTCGGACATCTTTGCCCCTTATGGGGAGCTGCAGCTCCTTAGCCAGCCCCAGCCTCTCAGCATCCCACCCAAGACCAAGCTGGTGGCCTGGGTAGTCAGCAACTGGCGAGCTGACTCCCACCGTGTAAAGTACTATGAAGAGCTGAAGAAACACGTCAATGTGGACATCTGTGGACGGTATCATTTGCCCCTGCCCCAGGAGAAACTCCTTTCCACTATGTCCCAGTACAGCTTCTACCTGGCTTTTGAGAACTCACAGCATGAAGACTACATCACTGAGAAGCTCTGGAGGAATGCCTTGTCCTCTAGCACCGTCCCTGTTGTCCTGGGGCCTCCTCGAGAAAACTACGAGCGCTTCTTGCCCCCTGACTCCTTCATCCATGTCGATGACTTCGCCAGCGCCAGGGACCTGGCACGGTACCTGCAGGAGCTGAGCAGGGATGCTGAGAGATACCAGCGCTACTTCCAGTGGCGCAAGTGGTTGAAACCCATGGTGGGAGCTAACTGGTCTCTGCACCTCTGCAGAGCTTGTCACTTCTTGCAGACAACAGAGGCCAGGTACCAAGTTGTGCCCAATCTGTCTGAGTGGTTCATGTAGCTGCTGTTTGCTCAGCTCGCTCCAACCCTTTTGTCCTTGCTGGCAGGTTGCAATTTCACAAGACGATTGAACTTTTGTGGAAATAGAAGGACAAGAAGAAGTTCGAAGCAAACAAGGACAAGGAAGTGATCAGGTGTTTGTATTTCTTTGTCTTACTGGAGAATAGGCTGTCAGATAGAGTAGTGTGTTAGTTTTTTGCTGATTTATTAGTTACCCGAACAACTTGTTACACTGGCTGTGGCTTGGTCTTTGGAGAAGTTCACCTATAGACTGTAAGCAAACAGTTCTGATGAGCTCCATGGGCTGGAGAGCGGAAGCAAGTGATGAACATCGGGAGGCGAGATAACAATTCCTATCGCAAACCTTTGGACTCAAGAACTTCGTACTCTGCAAAGGTGCAGCTCGAAGGGGCGGCCACACCACAAAGCTGCCAGCTGAGGCAGGAGGAACTGGCCAAACTCCTCTCCCTGAGCCCCACAGCCCCAGTCCTGCCCTTGCTCTGCCTCAGGCTCTCCCTGGCTGCCTTTAGGGTGCTGCATCAGGATGCTAAAGGGACAACTCCATTTCTTTTACAAGGCTGTTTTTTGGACAGGTTACAAGATAGCATGGGGTTAAGGAAGGGTCTGGTGGCAGCAGACTGGTGCAGGAAAGGTGTGAGGTGCTAAGGATGCCTCTGAAAGAACCTTGAGTTTTAGCGCCTGTGGCAAAGAGATGCTCAGGACCAGCACATGATGAGCCACCTCCTCCTCTGTGCCTTGAACATCACAACTGATGCCTCCAGGCCACACATTTAAAAACCAGGAAATAATTGGCCTTTATTGAGCTTCCTGCTGCTGTTCAGGTCCTATCTCTGGAAATTGTTTCCTTTTCAGGTTGAGGAGCCCCATTGCATGGAGTCAGAGGACATGGCTGTGCCCTTCCAGGCTCCCTGCCCGTACCTCTGGTCATTCCCTTTGTTCTCCTGCCTGCTACTGAGCCCTGAGCTGAGCTTTTCAAAGGTCTGTCCTGACCCCAGGATGTTTCCATGAGGAAACTCAGCTCTGAGCCCAGCAGCGCTTACAGAGATGTAATTGTTTTCTTCATCAGCAGAACTGAGCAAACATTTCCAAAGAGTTTCCTGTGCATTTCCTCCTGCAGTCACTCGGAGGGAGAAGGACCATCAGCAAGACCTTGTCTTTAGCACTGTGACTCCCTTATTTTCATTAGCAGCCTCTGCCACCTCCATTTTTGCTCTGCTTTGCAGATTAGTTGGGTACATTGATCAGCATAAGCCTAAGAACAACTCCTTCACTGAAATCTGAACCTTTATCCCTCCCATCATTTCCCTCTTCTCCTAACAATACCTGTCTAGATGAGACCTTCCTGAGGCTGCTTGCTTTCTTGAAGAGCCCTTGCTGGACCTTAGCGAATCCCTTTGGAGATTCAGGTGGAAAGATGCCACGTCTTCCTTAGCCATGTGCTTGCTGCTGCTTCAAGGAAGAGCAATAAATATGTGAGGCATCAATTTTTATTGCCAATAATTGTCCATGTGTCTGCCTCTGCCTTGTCTGCCTGCAGACACACACCTCTTCCCCTTTAGTGTGTAGCTCCTGGGATCTCATCAGCTGACCCTGGTGCTCTTCCCATCTTTAAAGCCAGTTCAGTTCAGAGCAGCTGGAGAAATGTAAGACTTTAACACTGCTGGTTGAGCTGATATGTATGTGGACAAGGGATAAATAATATCCTGCAGGTGACCCATTGGTCTAGGAACATCCCCAAGTTGCAAAAGCTTGGGGGGAAAGAAGTATCTCCAAAGCCTACACAAGCATGGCTGAAGCCCAATCAGCCCAGGCTCAGAGGCCTCGCCATGGAGATGGACCCTGTCACTGGTGGCATTTTCTGGGAATGCCACACTTTGGTGACAGCATGCACTGGGAATGAGAAAACACCAATGGGTTTGCACCATTGTGCTGGGAAGAGGCTGGATGTTCCCTCTGGAGTAGGGAAGGGGAGAGACTGAGCTCAAAGAAAACACTGGGGGCTTGTCAGGGGAGCACAAAACCCAATTAAATTTGGAAATTTTTTATTGAGGTCAACCTGCAACCTGATGTAAATCACGTGCAGAGGGGTGGGGAGGAGCCAGGTGGAAGCTTGGGGCAGTTTTTAAGTGGAAAGACTGGAAATACTCCCTGATGGAAATGGTGACGGGAAGCCCCTGGCTAGGGAGGGTTTGCTCTCAAGCAGAACGAGTATTTCTGCAAAGCAGAACAATTTCCATGGCTGGTGACACCTTAGAGCAGTGGCCAGTCTCCAGGTGCCCGTGTTCTGGGATGCAGATGGAGGGGAGTGTTGAATAGCAGGAGATCACCTGAAAGAGACCTGGGCTCTTTAGCACGGGGGATCACAGGGACAGGGCTTGACACATGCATTTAGCAGACATCTTGCACGGCCGAGAGAGCCAATTCTCCCCAAACTGAGCTTCTTACCCTTGTGGAAAATCCCTTTTCCAGCTACAGGGGAAGTCAAATATATTTTATCCATCCCTGCTGCTGCTGTGGCCCTTTGGGGGCCCTTTGGGAGCACCCACTTGGTGAAACGGCTGCAAGAAATCCCCAGTTTTCCCTTACCAACCTCCCAAGCCCTACTCCCTTTGCTTCCAAGACCTGGATTCATTTAACACCTGTTAAAAAGAGATGAATCCCATGGGGTTTTGGACTCTCAACTGGAAAGTGGCAGCACCAGGGTTATTGACTCTCTCCTTCTGAGCTTGAGCCTGGGGTTATTTTGGCAGGTCAAGGCCAGGCAGGTTCATCAGCCTCATCGCTCTCAGGGATCCAAGGGCTGTTTGAGGACCTGGGGGAGCAGCAGGGACCCTGAGGCCAGACAGCCTTTGAGAGGCCAAATTTATGAATACTGATCTTATCCTCACTCCTCAAATTGTTCTACAACCTTCAAAAGGGTGACCAAAAGATGAGTTTTAGTTCTGAAGCATTCAGAGCTGGGCAGACCATGGGGTGTTAGGAGATTGCACCCAGCCAGGCTTCAGCCATGGTCCTTGAGGAGGGGACATGGGATTGGCAGGACAAAAATCATGGAATCAGAGAATGGTTTGGGGTGGAAAGGACCTTAAGATCATCCAGTTCCAACCCCCTGCCATGGGTGCCTGCAGGAAGTTGCAAGGAGAGTAGAAACACACAGATTGGTGCGTCCTTTTGCAGCCCAGTAAAGGTTTGAGATGTTTCAGCTTTGTCCAGTGCTGGGAATGGTCCTCTCTGCAGTCAGTGCTGACAGGTCCAAAACTGGAGTCTGTGAATATCACATTCAAGCTTCCCCTCGGTGCGGCCGTGTCCTGGGGAAGGGATGTGGGTGATGTGGAGCCCCACACAGGCTGATTTCGTTAGGAGATGGGAAAGCTGACACCACACTTGGGAAACTCTGTAAGGGGGGGACTTGATCAAGGGAAACATCTGGATGGCTGCACCGCGGGGGCCCGGGGCTGGGAGACTGTGCTGGGAAGTCACAGTCCGGCTTTTGGGGCTTGCTGCCTCCTTGATGAAGGGGGTTTCCCTCTCCACACCCAGTTGGAGATACCAGCACAAGGAGTTGCTTCAGTCCCTCACAGTGAAGATGTGAAAACACCCCAATTGACCCCAAATCTCTCCTCATTTTCCCTAAAGGTGGTAGGAGGCAGGCTAAGTGTTCCCAGCTAGCGCTTTTGGACAGAGATTGTCCAAAAAGCAGAGAAGGGGATATCTTGAGGAGATGATGATCAGATGAAGGGGCATTTCCCCAAGAGGTGAGAGAAAGGCTGCTCCTCATGGGAAATCAGTGTGATAATAACTTGAAAACAGAGGTTTTGGAGCAGTGTCTGACTTCAGCTCTGGGCCGGAGGGGAGCCAAGAGGAGAGGCAGAGCTTGAGAGAAACAAATCCTCACCAAGCCCGGCTCAGCAGAACTTTGCACTTGGAGAAGGGAGAAGAAAATGCTCAGATACCTCAAAATCCTGAAAACAGCATCTGGAGCCTTACAAGCTCCAGAGTTCCATCATCCATTCCTGTGTTTGTCCTTCTGGGTGTATGGAGGTGCCTGAACCAGCCCTGTAAACTCCATTATTTCCAGCTTTCCTGAGCCTGCAGGCAGATACTCCCAGTGCTTTGGAAACCTGCTCCTCGTTTTGTCCAGGGAGGCAGGGAGAGGGAACATGGAACTATCACCAAACTCCTGCCTTCCCTCATGGCAAAACCCCACAGCAACTGAAGCAACGACTATTGTTTGGTAGCAATATGAGGAGAGAAATAATCATCTATATGGGGCTGGGTTTGGTTCTTTTTGAGACTTGTAAACTGCACACGTTTGTCTTCACTTTGATTTCATGTTTTCCTGTTTGAAGCCAGGCTGGGTTTATTTTCCCCCTGTTTTTACTGGGAGGCAATTCTGACCAGCGCAAACAGCATGCTGAAGTTGAGCACTCTTAGCATCCTATTTCCTACTTGTTACTTTTTCCATTTAAAAACTGAACACAGGGATACAGTACGTCACTGGAAAGCTGGGATTTGTAAAGCTGGGGCTTTTAAGCGAGAACCAGAAAATCTCCCATTTACGCTATGAAAATCAGCAACATGCACCTCATATCCAAGAAATCGCACCCAAAATCAGCCCCAGCCCAGCCCAGCCCAGCAGCACGTCCCACTTCGCGCTGTTGTTTCCTTTCTATTTTTTTCCCCTTGCTCTTGGAGGAGTCACATTTTCCAAGCAGCCCTCTCCAACATGGTCATTAAAGCTTCACTTTGTCCTCTTTTTTTTTCCCCTCTTTTTTTTTGGGACAGGCTGGCAGGAGGATCTCAGCGTTCCTGCGTTTCTGGAGCGCACCCGGACGCATGCGTGCGCGCCTGCGGAGATTTATGAGTCTCAAAAGATGCTTCATAAACTATTTACAAAGTGGAGCTTCAAGCGTGAAGGTCTAGCTCGGCCACAAGGGCTGTCAGGCCTCCGGGTGGCAAGAGGGGGAAATATAAACAGACCTTTCTTTCCATTCCCGAAACCCCCCACCAGGAACCTTTGTGGTTCATAAGTGGTTTAGCTACAAGCACAGGAGTTTGTGCCCACCCTCACCACAGGGTTTAGGGATTTTCAGCCTATTTTTCACTGAAAAAAGAAGTAAAAATCATCTTTTTCTGGACAGACTGGGGTTGGAGGGAAGTGATTTTAAAGGACAGGCATTTCCCTGCAGGGACACTGATGCTTTACACACTAAATGCCATAATGTGCCTTAAATGAGGGTAATGTGCCTTAAGTTATGACATAATTGTAATAGGTGCTAATTTGGGGTAATTGTGTTCAGTGGGGTCAGATGGGGGCGTAATATGTGTTAACTGCAGGTAACCCATGTTAACTGCGGGGGTTGCACATGGGGTAAATGCACATTTAAAGGGGTCAGCACCTGTTAAATGGGGCTAATCTGTGCTTAAATGGGGCTTCAACAGCAGGTCCCCTCTGGCTTTTGCCCCCTGAGGAGCTACTGGAAACCAGTAGCAGGGAGAAGGAGCTGGGGTGGGACTGGAGGATGTGCGGCCACAGCGCTGGGCCCAACGCTTCCATTTTCCACTTGAAACACGTTTGTGTCCTGAACTTGGCTGGGCTTGCAAATTGCAGCCTTTCATCCAACCCAAAACATTATCCACCATCATCATCCTAATGGGAAGAGCAACAAACCCCCGGCCAATGCTGCTGCCGCCTTTGAGATGTTTTCCATGTCAAATAAAATACGTTTCTAACCTCAGCACCGCTTCCAGAGGAGCAACTGAGGCTTTTTTTTCTGGCTGACCTTATCAAAACCTTGCAATTTCTTTCTATTTTTTCCTTGCTTTTTTAATGTGATTTGGCCAGATTCGGTGTGTCTTTGAGCCAACCCAACTGGAAGCACCTTTACAAGAAGGGGACTAAAGCAACACAGCCCCACTCAGGCAATGTCCCAGCCTTGGTAAACATCTCACGTCATTGGTTTCATCAATATAGTTTTGCAACAGATGAAAATGGAAGAAATGGGGCTGTTTGCAGGTGTGCAGGGAGATTTCTAAAGGAAACTGGAACATGAAGCCAAGCTCCTGCCATCCTTCAGCCTGCAGCCAGCCACATGGACCTCCTCTGCTCTCCCAAAAGCAAAGCCACATTTCCATTTCTATCCCTATGTTGAGGACGTAACATCACTTCACCATTGCTTACCCATCAGCAGCAGTGAAAGACAATAAATGGCAAGAAATCAGTATAATCCTCCTTTTATTTTCACTTTGTCGTGAGTATGTAACAGCATCACACCCGAGTTTATGGTTGCTTAAAAAAAATAACATCAGACTGCTTTTCTTCTTCCCCCAATGTTCAGAATAAATGGTAAAAACGTCATAAATGTAAACTGCACTTGGCACCACTGGATCAATAAATAAAGTTTAAAAAACAAAGGAGAGAGAGAAAGACAGAGCGCGTTACGTAGATGGCACGCTATGGGATCTAAATAAATAACATAAGTTACTTCCAATAAATAGAGAGTATCGAAAATATAGATGCATTGCATCAACTTCTGCAGATGGTCGGTCAGACCCGACAATACCAGAAAGGAAACGGGTTTATCTGGATGGTGCCGAGTGGAGCCACAGGCTGGGCCGTGCGCTCCCACCCGGCTGTGACACTAGGCTCCTTTTTGTCCTGTGTTTTTCCTTATTTTCCTTTTTTTCCCCCCTTTTTTCGTCATCCTACCCCTCCTCATCTCTTGGGCCTCAAGTTGGAGGCTACGCCTTGTTGAACCAAGAAGGAAAACATGTGGTAGCCCTATTTACCAAGGGAAGAAGGCTGAGGTTTTGAATCCCGCTTGATAAATTGGGAAAGTGATTTCTTCCCAGCAAGTCTCTGGGCCTGTTTAAATAAGGAACGCTCCCTTTGCAAGTGCTTCCATGGAGTAGAAACAATGATGTTAGACCCGTTTTCCCCCTCACAGATACCAAATCGGGAGTGAGACCATGTCAGCAAATGGGATCCCAATGGGTGAGAGTGACAGGTGGATCCAAGCCAGAGCTGGAGCCCCGGCGCTGCGGCCGCCTCCAGCACCGGCCAGCATTACACAAACATAGGCTGTACGTAGAGCAATGTGTATAGTAAAACACAATGAGACACCCCATAACTCACTGTCAGAGAGCCGGGATAACATAACACTCGTATTTTGCGCTGTCACAACCACGGGAAGAGTTTTAAACATCTCCTTGTGTTTCCAAACCTCCTGATTTTTCCAGCACTGTGAAGCCCCCCTCAATGCCTGGGGAGTGATGCCACTGCAAAGCTGCAACAACACAGAGGCAAGCTGCAAAAAAACCAGCCTAAAACCATCTCCATGCAGATGCTGCACCCTGTTTATTAACATTAAATAACGCATGGGATGAGGAGGAAGGAGCCAGATGAGATTTAGCTGTAGCTTTGAGTAGGGAATTTTCCATCCTTTTTTGCCCTTTCTGCATTGTAGACATTCTTCCGGACAGCTCCAGCTCCTATTACAGTGGAGAGGGCTGTAGAAATGGAAAGCATTAGGGAAATATCAGCCTTTCGATTGGAACCACATTTCCATGCCCAGGCAGCAGTGAAGCGGTGTGGGATGAGCAGCGCTCCTGCAGTGGAGCAGCAGCAGCTCCATGCAGAGGATGGACCTCAAAGAGATGCACGATAGAAAACACACAAAGCAAAAGCCATCCTTCGGCCACGGCCGTAATGTCCCAGCTAACCCCAAGACCTGGACAGCGAGTTTTGCAGTTACAAATCCCAGCTGCATCCCAAACCCAAAGATACAGGCACATCTGCAGATGTCAGTCACTTCCCCTGCTCCTCTGCTGCTCAGCTGCTGGCGGGTGAAAGGAAAAAGGAGGAAAACTAGATGAATTGGAGCTATTCGTGTTGGTTTGCAACACACACATTGCATTTGGGGGGTTCCCAGCGTGCCTGTTTCTTTGGGGTGCGAGCTGGATTCGCACTGGGTGTACCTCAGGGTGCTTTGCAGCTGGAAGGGTTAAGAGTGGGTCTGGGGTGCCCTGGCCCCCTCTGCCTGCCCCTGAGCTCCCTCACTTCCCCGCTGCACCCAGCAAGACCCTGGTGAGAGAAGGGTCCCTGATCCCTTTGCCTTTGAACCCTGCAACTCAAAGCACCCTAAATCCCTAGGTACTGCCAAAAAACATTTCCCAAGCCAGAATTTCCCAAGCAACAGCTCCAACATCTTCCAGCAACCTCCTTGTGCTCTGGGTAAGGAAACTCCAGGCAGCCCTGCTGCAAACCCTGCTCCCATGGCACCAGGCCCTGCACTGCTTCTGCAACACCTTCCCTTGCTTTATTGCTCTAGTTCATTTTGGGGTTCTTTCTTACTGCAACAAAACTAATTTTAGTTTTATAGTAGTGAGAACTGGAAAGCACCCAAGCCCTTGAGAGCGCCGCCAGTATGAGCACATTTGGGTGTACTTACTCTTTTAAAGTCAAGAGTGAGCCGATGGCTGTCCCCCATCCTGCTCCCACTGCTCCTTATTTTGGGCCAGCTTTTACCTTTCCCTGCAAGCCCTGTGGTGCAAACTCTCCCTTGCAGCAAGGACCACGTTTGCCTGGTCTCAGCAGCGTTTGCATCCCCGTAGCACAGAATCATGAGCCCTTGTCGGTTCACCAGCATGAACAATGTCCCGCGGATGCTCCCCATGCCCATGGCTGCCTTCTCCCTTCCCCAGCAGGAAAATGCTGTGTTAGGGAGCACAGGCTGCTTTCCCAGGGATGCCGGGTGCATGGCCAGCCCTGCTGAAGGATGGTGTTTATGTTGCCTCACTACATCCTGGCTGTGCTCAGCCAAGAGCGGCATGGGATGAAAAAGCAAGATAAACCCCACCAGCCCGGCCCTTTGCAGAGGTCGGGGTTGCAGGGAGAGCTGTCTCACATCCCAGCCGAGCTCTCCCACTCTGTTCTCCCTTGGCTGCTGTGGTCACCTATATGAGGACTCCTCCTCATCACTACTGTGCTGGGATGGAGGCAGATGAGCTATTTAGTCCCATTTAGCCGGATGGAGGAGCTGGGACACTGCTGTGATCGGGGGGTGGCAAGCGGAGCCTTTTCACTCATGTTGGTTAATGCCCAGGACATGACACCAATATTCTCCTTCTGTTTATGATTTGCTTTTTCTGGGAAGAGGGCCAAGGCGAGAAAACCCATCAATCCCAGGCAACAAATATAGCCTGCCCCGAGAACGTAAAAGTCTGCGGTCTCATTTATTTCTCCGCAGAGTAAACAAGAGTGACACTGCTGTAAATGCAAACTGGAGCCAAACCCCGGGATGAGCCCCCTCTCCCGCAGGATTCCAGCCCCACTGATGGGCAATACTCACATGCCCAGCCCAGCTCTGGGAGATGCCAAACCACAGATGCTCCTGCCCGTGCTGCAGACCTGGTGAAGGCAGTGAGCTGGTGGCTGCGCCGGTGGCCTCTTGAGGCTCTGTCACCACCAGGGTGGTGGCAGGTCTCCAGCCCAGCTGCCCGGGCTCGGGTGGGAGGTTAATCCAGTTACTTCAGATCATTGTGAGCTTTAAAAAGAAAAGCCTGGGGCTGCGGGGTGGAGGTGATGGTGATGGGGCATCAGTGGGAGCGGAGCCAGAGCCTTTCCCCCAAGC